CACATCGGCTGGCTGGACTGCCTTAGGCAGCATTCCTCCAAAGTGATGCCTGCATGGACCATGCCGTGTCATGGCGCAGGTGTCGGCCGCAGGGCTGAAGACTTCGATAACACGACGGCCTGCCGGATCCTCTCCATGTTTAAAGGAGAGGTGAATAACAGACGACCTACTTAAACAAATACAGTAGGCATTCTTTGTACGCCAAAGATACTTGGGGGCCTTCACCCAATCCCTATCAATTGGATTTTCTTGAGGCTTGCATGCGGCGGTCGATTCGATTATAAATAAGCTATTTTCCCCAAAAATGCAGGCCGTCGGATACAGTAGACAAAAAAGTGGACAAACTCAGCCACATCTTCGAACGAAAACCGAAGGAATAATGGAAGAGATAGATTCGGAGAAAATGGTAGAGTATTGTCAGACAGGCGGACTAGTGCCAACTGCGTTAACATGCAAATGCAGCCAGCCAATGAAACAGCAAATCAGAAGACGTCACACAGACGGATGTGTTTTCAGATGTGTTCGGTGCCGAAGGAGCAACTCCCTTGGAGTTGGCTCGATACTTGAAAAGAGCCGACTCACAATCCAGACAGTCATGAAGATATGGCTGTCCCTTTAAAAAGAACGAGAGTGACGGTATGCGCAAAGGACATTGACATATCACATACAACAGCTGTTGAGTCGCACGCACCCTGTTGAAATATATGCTCCGCAGTACTCATAAATGAAACCAAGCAGATCGGAAAACCAGGGACAGAATCGAAAGTCGACGAAACGCTTATCAGCCGGCGGAAGTACAAAGTCGGTAGATGCAAAAGCCACTGGTGGCTGGTGGGGATGTATGATACCAGTCGGTGGAAGGCTTTTTTGAGCAGACGAACGACAGAAGCTGGCCGGCCCTGAGATCTGTCATAACGAAATGGGTGGCAAATGCAGCGTCACAGTAACGGATGAATGGAAGGCCTACAATCAATCGCTTGCCAAATGAGGGATGTCAACATTTCACAGCCAACCGCTCAAAACACTTCAAGAACCCAACAACTGGCAAGTATATCCATTCAATCAAGGCGTATTGGAGTCGACTGAAAAGGAAATTCTACGAAGGGGGCCCAGTATAAGGTCGAGCCACCTGGGTGCATATTGATGAGATGCAGTATCGCCTATGGTTTGGTCTGAATACCGTGGAACTAAAGGAAGCATGGGAGTTCTCCCGTCTCACATAGCTGAGACATACTCGGTATATCAAAAAACCAGTACGCAGGCAGCCAACAGTTTTTTAAGTAATTTTCCTTACATAAATTCATTTCAAGCTAAGCGTTTTGTAATATCCAGAATATAGGGACCGCCACGTAACAGTCGATTTCCCGTTTACTTATCTATAGGTACTGACAAGTTTCAGTTTTGTGCATTGCCGTTAAGAGGGCACTCGCCTAAACGCGAGCTATGATCATGTGAAACACTACGATTGCTTCTCAACTTTATGAACTATGGTCAATGAAGTAATAGTAAAGGGAATCGTAACGTCTGCGACGGGCCACCGAAGCGGAACGATCGCTTCACAACTCTCTGGACGTAGATTATGATAGGTATTGCTAAGGTGACGGACAGCGTCGACGATAAAGGACGGAAGTAAAACGACCGGTTCTTAACTGTATGAGCTAGGGTCATGTGAAGGAATGGCAGATAGAATCATATAACGTCTTCGACCGACGACCGAGCCGATACGATCGCTTCTCAACCCTCTGAGCTAAGATCATGACAGGTAATGCTGAGGTAAGGAGCAACGTCTACGGTGGAAAACAGAAGCACACCGTTCGCTTTCTAGCCGTATGAGCTTAGGTCATGGCGGGTGATGTTAAGATTAGGAGCGACGTATACGATGAACGGAAGCAACATGATCGCTTTTTAACTTTACGATGAAGAACAGAAGTAACATACGGCCTACTTAAGCAAGTACAGTAGGCAGTTTTTGTATGCCGCAGATACTTGGGGGTCTTCACCCTGCCGTTGCCCAAATAAGCATTGAAACAAACGCGAGACAGTCTAAATGGCAACCTTGGAAAGGAGGGAACTGAAATGTTGCGAGGGCAGATACCAGCGGCAATTCTATGAATATGGCCTGAATTGGTACCATTCCAAAGCGGTTTAGAAGAAATCTTGGGACAGTCGTCCAAATTGGACGCACAGCTTTGATGATTGATCCTGACCGGCTTGTAAAAAATAGTTTATAATGAAAAAATCATAGTACCGAGTTTAGACGAGAAGGCCCAATCAAGAGATCCGACCACGTGCGCGGAGTACAGGCCAACTGTGTAGCGGCGTGGACACGTGCGTACCGGATTCAACCAATCGATCGATAAGTACGCAGAGCGTTCAGAGGAGACGGCCGGAGCGCATCTGAACGGTGATGTCCAAGGTAATTCTTTATTTGCAACAATATAGTCATCTTCCACACAGTCGGCCGTGAGGGAGGTCGTGTGCATCCACATAGGACAGGCTGGAGTTCAGATAGGAAACGCATGTTGGGAGTTATTCGGACTCGAGCATGGAATTCGACCAGACGGATTATATTATGACGGGTACCAGCCTGACGACAACTCCTTTCTGACATTTTACAACGAAACTGGTCACGGCAAATTTGTTCCACGGAGCATCATTGTGGATTTGGAGCCAACTGTCGTTGGTGAGTAGAGGATGTCGATTTATGGGTGTTTAGACTATACCTGTCAAATTCTTTTTTCCGAATCTGTGTCCGAGTGTTTGCCCTAAACCAGGTTCCACCTAAGGTCCTCTTAGGTCCTTTAGTTAATTAGACCTTGCTAGGACTGGGCCCAAACGGAAGGGTTGTATCAGGGGGTCACAAGGAGCCCTATGTCCTCGCCGTCTCCCTTGACTTTGTGCAAAACGAAATAACAAGAAGGATGGAAATACCGGGGCATAATGGGAAGACCGTTTGGTCGAACTGTTTATCTGTCCATGGAGGCTTGATACAGTAGGTAATGTATTTCTATAAATGTGACGAAGTACTCACGAAAATTCCTACAACGCACAGGCGGCCCCCCAGCGTCCCACAAACTACGAACCCCTCAACAGAATACTTATAGGTTTATCCACTTTGTCCATAGTATAAATTAGGCCGTCAAACCGACTAGGAGGCACTGCTTTTGCAACCGACCATGGGAAACAGGGAACCTACACAAGGGAGGCTTGCCCCCAGCGCAGTCGAACCACCTACCGCTCGAAAGGGGTACAGGGGACATGCTTTATCTTGGGCGAGCAAGGCGAGTTCGAACGACTTTCCTGTGAGGTTCATGGGCCGTCCATTTGTGCCAGACGCATCTGCTATTAAAACTAGTTTAAGCTTAACTTTTGTTCTATTGAGATCGACGTTGCTCTCGAAATGTAGCCGGAAGCAGTTTAACTGTTAATGACCGAGGCCTAAGACTTCCGTTTCCGAGTCACGCAGTCAGGTAGTCTTCGGGATCAACTCGTCAAACCATAGTACAGGCCGAGCATCCGGTTTGTCCAGTGTTCCGGGTTGGGTTTCGGATTTCACATAAAAACAACTCAGTATTTCCAACATATTATGGCATCAGTTACTTCCCTCTCTGCACAAAGATGAAATCCGCACGGGATACTACCGCCAATTGTTCCACCCCGAACAGCTGATTTCGGGCAAAGAGGATGCAGCCAATAATTACGCCCGTGGTTTCTACACTGTTGGCGAACAGATGATTGAGCTGACAATGGATCGAATTCGCAAAGTGATGGACACCTGCAGTATGCCCCAGGGGTTTCTTATCTTCCACTCTCTGGGTGGCGGCAGCGGCTCGGGTTTCGCTTCCCTGGTAATCAGTCGCCTCTCAGAAGACTACCGTAAACGCACTAAGATCGAACTGGTGGTCTACCCCGCTCCACGTCTTGCCTCTGCCGTTGTGGAGCCTTACAACAGTGTCCTCACCACTCACACCTGCATCGAACTCTCCGAGGTAGTCTTCTTGATGGACAACGAGGCAGTCTGGGAGATTTGTCGGCGCAACCTCGACATTCGACGACCGTCATTCACCAACATTAACCGCATACTTGCCCAGGTGATCTCCTCCCTCACTGCAGCCCTGAGGTTTGACGGGCAACTGAACGGCGACCTCACTGAGTTCCAGACAAACTTGGTGCCTTATCCGCGGATTCATTTTCCCCTGATCACTTTTGCCCCAATTGTGGCAGCCGAGAAGGCCTACCATGAACAGAACAGTGTGGACCAGATCACAAAGGCCTGCTTTGAACCGGCCAACAGTTTTGTGAAGGTAGATCCGCGGAATGGCAAGTACATGTCCGTCTGTCTGCTCTACCGAGGAGACGTGGATCCTTCCAGCGTAAACAATGCCACATCTACGATCAAATCTTCTCGATCGATCCAGTTTGTGGACTGGTGTCCGACCGGCTTCAAGGTGGATATCAACAGTCAGCCGACTGCGGCTGTGCCCGGCGGGGACTTGGCAAGGGTTATGAGAACATGTTGCATGTTGGCCAACAGTACGGCCATCGTAGAGGCCTTTGTACGCATCGACCGAAAATTCGATCTTATGTTCAAGAAACACGCCTTTGTGCATTGGTATGTGGGGGAGGGCCTTGAGGAGGAGACCTTTGTCACCGCGAGGCAAGACTTGGCCGCCCTGGAGCAGGACTACGAGGAGGTAGGCTACGACACGAAGGAGTGAATTGTATTCAACAACCTTATTTTTCAGTGTGTTTCCTCTGGCCTTAGCTTTCTTTTACTTGCTCAGTCATTTGAGACAACTCCATCTTTCTGTTGTATGTGTGCCTGATTTTGGGGAAAAACATTCCCATTGGTCAATTTTTAATAAAGATAAAAGGCAACTTTTAAATCGCAGTTTATTCTACTTCCAATAATATTTGGGTTATAACAGAGCATCTGCAGCAAAATAAAAATTAGACCTGAGGTAGATGGAGAATGTGTGACAGGAACTTCTGAGAGCATATTAGAAGGTTCCCTCGAGACAGATGTTGACCATTTTTGCCAGGTTTGGGTTCTCCATTGCGGCAGCCACGCGTTCCTTGTCCGCAAGTTGTTTGTTTATATCCTGTTCTGTTTCGTGCGTGCCGGCTGCGATTTCAACACGTACCTTTTGGCATTAACAATATTGTGAAGAACTGAATGTGGTTCAGCAAAATATGAGATATTGTATCTAGAGGCAAGCCACCGCTGTTAAGAAGCCCACTAACGATTTGCAATCACCAACAAAGTTTACATTAACAGACGGATGGCTCGCCGCCAGTGTGCCACTATGCTCACGGATATATTAAACTCTATTAACATATAGTAAGTAGTATTATTATACGACGTGTAAGAACTGTCACTAAGGCAGTAGATTTAGCGATAAAAATTAGAGGTATTTGGCAAAGTGACTGCACACTTAATAATTTCCGATGGCTTTAGGTGTTTTGCCAGTATTCCCCTGCGTTAACCAAAAGCGCAAAAGATCAGGGACGTGTAGAAGGACGCAGTCTGTTCTCCGTGATCGTGAGAAAGCTTTAGAAAAGCCGGATATTGCAAAAAGTTCACCGAAATTCCACGTCCACGATACACTAGAGCGGCGATGCGCTCTCAGTATTGTCTACTTAAAAGCATACTTGTAATGCAGAGCCCGGGATAAAAACTGCATTCTACAAAGAGCATTTTAAAGGCAAAATAAGAAAGGTTTAAAAAAAATTACAGAGAAGGTAATAGGTTTTGGTGACCAACTATGACAATGGTCCGTCAGGAATTTTTCCGAGTCACGATTTTGGCGAAGAAATTATCTAGCACCGCTGGCTTTTTGGTGGACAGAAATGTCCTCAAAGACAAAAAGTGCACTCCCAACAGTGTTTGGTCACCAACATAGGACAAAATTTCCTTACATTAAGATAACGGGGTGTCCGGAAAGCATAAAAAACAGCTACGGAAATGCGTGATTCACTCATAAAGTAGATGTGTTCGATGGTAGGTGTGGGAATGTTTTTTTCGGATGTTCGCATCCACAGTGAGTCTTACTTGAGACAACCACAGAAACATTTCCCCTTTTCTGGTTTGTGCTGCCTCTCAGTGCCTAAGGCCACATCCCCGTCTTCATCCATCTGAGCAGTTAGTTTTTGAAAGCTTCCCTAGCATCTTGACTGTCCTTAAACATCCCCGCAACAGGCCTTATGCGCTCGCGTCACGCTGTTTGGGAATTCGTAGCTTATGGACAAGATTATGTTGCTCTCTTAGGTAAGGCAGGAGTTACAAATGAAGGGCACAAGACGTTGAAGAAGCACACACAATGATTACCTTAAGTATTATAATAAAAAAGCTAGCTTTTACTGCACGTGTAGTGTCCTTAGGAAGGCAATGAACTTGTTGAACGAAAAAGGAGTGAAAATACAGCACGACAAAAATTACTTTGAAGCGGCTTGGAAGCGAGCGGAGGAGTTTCACCTTAATTGACAATCCAATCAGCGTTGCCAGGCTACACTGCGAGATAGTCGGTGTGAAATATACGAGGACTTTGCCCTGTTCATCATCGACTTCGATTTGTTCTTTGCGTACAACACCTAGGACCTCCAGAGAGTGCGGGTGTTCGGGGTCTCGAATATCCCTTATTTGCTCTAAAATATTCGAAAGTGCCTTGCTGAAAGTAGGTGGTAGTTAAGGGGCGCAACGTAAAACAATGCGGACGATCGGCCTCTGAGGCATAAACGTAAGATGTATTCCGCACCAACCCTGGCTTTAAGACTGGGACAGGCTACACAGTCATGGTCTTCCACTCAGAAGTAGCAACAAGCTTCGACAGTTGCAGCAGAAACTCGGAAAGGGTTGCATTCAGAAACTTATTTTAAGAAATAACAACGTGCTTCACATCGAAGCCTGTATGTGACTTTAAAATTAACTCTGTTAAGAGACAAGTCGTAAAAAGAAGCTGCTACCTAGAAAAGTTTACAAGTGAAATTTACGATCACCTGAAAGGTGGACCTCTGGTAAAATGTGAGTAAGGAGACGAAGGGGCGACTAACCGAATACTTCGGCAGCGTCAATGGGTTCTCTTGCCTTGAAGGGAAAACCGACGAATGTTGATGGGATTCGTTCGGCATCGGCCGCAAAAATTGTTGGATTCACGTTGTCCAGCACATCCATCAGAGCTAAATTGGTGAAAGAGGGATGAGTTAGGGAGTGTGGGAATATGAGATTTAGACGTGTCAACGCCACGACTGCAAGACGGTGGCTCGACTGGCAGCATGCCAAATTTATATAGCCCACTTCAGAAGGTACAAGACGGGCCCGGCGCGTACTGACGGTCAGCAACGACCGTGAAATGACTGCCAATAGAAGAGGCGAGTCCAAGGAAGTAGTCTTGAAGGAGACACGATCGCTGGGATAAGAATTTTATTAGCCTGACGCTTCGGATCCCTGCTCGAACCCACCATCAGAGACAACAGCAGATACGGGTGATTCACGCACAAGGGGCTGATGTATTTATAGGATGCAGTCGCCATGCCACCGCATACCTATGAACATTCACGCCCCCCTCCCCTTCATCCGGGATCGTCGCACTTGGTGTGCTTATTGTTTGATGGCCGACATCCGCGTCGTTGATTGCTACAATTTCATCACGTGCGTGGGATGTTGGTGTGATGATTGCTCGACCACCTGACGCACCTCTGCGCTCCCCGCATGGCTTGTTACTCCGCCTAGGCGAAATTTTAGCACGCAGTATGGAGTGGGAAGATCGTTGCACTTGTTGATGGACTGGGGGCCAGTAAACCATGATTCCAGTAGCTCCCGGCTCACGCGGTTGTCACCTCTTGCGGGAATTTCGGCCTCGTCAAATTTGAACGTGTGGTCAGATCTCAAGGAATTAGCTGCAACTTGAGAGCTAGCGTCATTTCTCCGCACCGCTGCAGCGTTCGGAGTTGTCATCCGGTTTCTCCGACGTAGTTGCTTTGTCCGCAACTGCACCAGAACCGGTAAACGACTCCAGACGTTTCTAGCCGTGGCAGCGGGTCTTGCGGTTTCATTACCAGACGCCTGATGGTTGCCTCCGGTCTGTGGGCAACTCCAACCCCAAGTGGTGCGAGAAGGCAGCCGACAGCTTCCGAAACTTTCTTGGCATACGGAAGCGCCCGCCAAGATTTGGTGTCCGTGTGGTTAGGCCTTTCGTCCGTTTTGCGTACGCACCGGTTGAAAAAGTTGCGCTGGTAGCCATTGGCTTTAAATACCCGTCGGAGGTATTGTAGTTAGGCAATCCTGTCTTCCGGCTCACTGCAGTGCGTTTCGACACGCCGATAGAGCGTCCTTACACAAGTGCGCTTGAGCAAGAATCCGAAACGTCAGGCTAATAAAGCTCTTGTCCCAGCGATCGTGCCTACTTCTTCATGAAACGACTGTCTGCGTCTGGCATGTTAATGCCTTGACGAGCTTTCAATGTACCGTATGGGGTATGTGTCCTCTGGCACAATGTTTGTTGCCGCCAGCAGACAGAACGGGATCGAGCAAGATTCCAACCAGGAGTGAGGGTCATGCGCCTACTCGAAAAGTTAACGGATAGTCAAGCTGGGCAGAAAAGGAACGGCGTCAACACCGAATGGTACACGCCTATCCGATGGGGCAGAAATTGAGGTGGAAACCGCGTAAAGTAAAGCGAAAGTCTCGGCAGGCTGTCTGACGCGCCAGATCAGCAAACCCTGTCGAAGGTCGGGGAAATTAACACCAAGCATTCGGTGCTCTGGGTTGAAACACAGGCTGTCAGTGCAGACCTGCCAAAGACGACAGAAACGAGACACGTCCAGAACGAAGCGAGCACCCTGGACAGAACGTTATGTTCTGGCATACAGAGGGGGCGTTCGGATGGTCGGCAGCAAGGACCAAGTACGACCGCTATCTGAGAAAGCACTGGAACCTAGAGCAACTGTCGAGATAAAGCTGCGTAGGATGAGGACTGCGGGCAGTAATGGCATGCAAGCAGAGAAGTGTCCGAATAACCACACATTCAGCCCGTTTCGGTCATCACTTGGTTACGTCCTGCGCCAACACAGCGTCGTCCGAAGCTGCGAACGAGTAAAAAACCATCGATGGCGCGTTTCAGGCGGTCGTTTGCGTCTGGCCATGTCTTCCGACGCCCAAACAACGCACCAGATGAGGCGTTAAGAATTACATTCTCCCGTACCTTTGTCTACATCAAACACGCCACTGCGGCACCGGCAAGCGACAGATCGAATTCGTGGGTGTGACCTGACAGTTCCCCGAAGAATTGTCTATAAGACCTCTACCTCCTCACTAGTCAGACGCCAACTGACTTATTAATAAGACTTCCGTCATTTTGACGGCGCCGACAGACTGCCCATCGAAGTCAAAGAGGTCAATACATCGGGAGTAGGGTAAGCATTCATATAGCATCAACCTCAAAATACCTACGGCGTTCAAACGGCAGACCAAAGGCGGTTGAAAGTGAGCTAGGGCGCAATAGCTGGTCGGAAACTCCTCCCGCCTGCCACATGTCGTGGTCCTTCAACTGGCACTAACCAGATTTCATTCACTTGGTCAAAGATGCCGTTATGTCACGGAAATTCGTCTCTAAATCCAGGGGCCGCCGTGGCCACACAGGTTGACGACCTCCCAAGTCGAGACCTCTAAAGCGCCAGGTAATCCAAATGAGCGTCTGGTTTATCACGAAGAGCAAGTCGAGCAGAATCGGCCTCACTCCTTTCTCATCATGAGCCAATGGCAAGACGGAGATGGGCAGACCGTAGATAAGCTTGAGCACAGTCGATGACCGGGAATTTCACAAGCATCTTGCGCGCGGCACACAAGTGTTGGTGTGTTTAGTGCCAGCCACAACATGCTACAGACTGATCCACCACCGCAGCTTCGTGCGCTGTCCTGACGAGGAAAGTGGCTCGTCACTCAGCAGCTTTCTAAGTGAAGGCGCTAAATACGCGTTTGAGTATGGTTGAAAGTAGTTGCACTCGATCGATCGATTCGCGCCAACAGCAGACGGCATGGGTTGAACAGTGGTCTTTCTCCGTTTCTAGCGTGCCACAAGTTTTAGTTCCTCAACAGGCGTAAAACAGACGCCGTCAAGTCACGCGTCTATTGGTCAAATTCTTGTCCCCCCCCCTCCCACCCCCCTTTAAGTCCGACACCACCGTACAGTATATTATGGAGTCTGTCTTTGGTGGCATGCATTATTACTGGGAGAGTTAAAAGAGCAAGGGAATAGCAGATTGACAAGCAATCTGCGCTGACAGTACTGAGAAGTAATCACACCTTCCCACAAATATTTTATTTTCCCAGGTCATATGGTGAAGACAACCACACAAAAATAGGAAACAAAGCAGAGTATGTTGGGGAGAAGAAGGACGAGCGTCGTGCTTGGCCTACTTGCGGGCGCGGAATGAACTGAGTCGGTTCTCTAACTCATCCAGGTTGTTATTCACCTAAATGCAAAAGGGAGAAAGCTGATATATGCTATATAAAGGGACTGTGAGACAGACAGCGGAAAAGGCGGGTAAAAGGAAAATAAGTCACTTTTAGTAACCTGCATTGGAGACATGATCCGGCTCTACAACTACCAAAACACTGGCCAAACAGTATTCATAATGATAGCCGTAGAGTATTGGTTGGGGCTTCTAGATCCCTACACTGCACCAGAATCTGTCCCTAGAAACAATCAGTTCCTGCAACTCCTCATTTAAAGTACATTTTGGAGGTGGCTGCCTACAGAAACTCTAAAGGTGAATACGACTAGGAGGGAGTCGACCACAGGTCAACAAGACAATCTAAGTAATGGGCTCGTGACCGAGTGGTTAGAGACGCGGACTTCCAACTAACAGGTCGCGAGTTCGAGCCTCGGGTGTTCCACACTTCGGGGTTGGGTATGACTGACTGACGACGGCTAATAAGCCAGAAATGGCCACTCCATAATAAAGATCGGTGAGCGCCCCCCTACCATAGTAATTTATATGTTCAAAGTACCTTTCCCCAGCGTCTGGTCAGTTTTTTCTCACGCACTGCCTAGCGTAATGCCGCTTCTAAATCCGGATCAAAAGTATCGTAAACTGGCAGAGACATCATGAAAAGAACAACCCAGAAGATTTGATGGCTAGAAAAAGAAGTCTATTGGCCTGACGTTTTGGGGTTCTCGCTTGAATCCATCATTAGACACAGTCACAGGCCAGGTTTATCTTCTAGTAGAACAACGCTGGTGACTGCTGAGCTCAGTGAGATGACTTGCCTGGTGCAGTTTCTCCAACTGGAGCATGAAGAACTCAGAGAAACGACGATCCACTTTCATGTCCGCAATGTGAATCATGTCGCCATCGACGTAGAAGTCCGTGTCACAGAGGAGTTGCAGTTGGCCTTCCAGGCTACCGCAGGTCTCCCTAGTTGAGGTGACGTTCTTGAGCAGGTGTTTGAACCGCATAAGCTGGGAGTGCACGACATTTTCGTCTTTCTGTGGACATGAAGGAGATTTAACGTAATGAGAAATAGCCCAAAATGGCACTATAATACAGCAGCTAGGACTAAGTGCAAAAGGCACTCCACATCTGCACACAGTAACAACAAAATCACTGGACACTGAAACGGACATTTCTGGTTCACTTGCTATCATTGGCCAGACACCCAAACCTTGGTGTACGCCATTCGTATGTGGGCAATAAGTTCGTAAGTCGTAAGATACGAGGATCACCAATGCCTCCAATAGCGCGCAACTACGACTTGTGTGTACATTCGTTTAGAGTGCAGCATACGTGAGCCATAACGACAGTAGGTGGGGCTAACCCATGAAATGTCAACCGAAATTCCGAAATGCGTTTTCGTTTCGAAAATATTCATTCTTTTGCTCATTCGGTAGAAAATCAAGTCTTCTAATTCCGTACTCGAAAGGGACATAATTCGGTTATAAAAAAAGTTCCTAATTATCAGGCTGTTAAATACCGTGAAATGACCGTTCATACATCGTCATGTCTTTGCATTTACCAATGTGGCTAAATTTTATGAATCCTATTTGATCCGCCTGTATTACCGTAAAGAAATGTGTGGTTTTCCGTACGCGGAAAATATACGGTTTGTAGTTTGGAAATCCTGAATCCAAGTGTAACGATAGAGCGGGCCCAACATTTTTCAGGAATTGGAAA